AAATATTTTGTAATAAATTTGATATATTGTTTAGGGAGCTAAAGGATGTTTTAGATTTGTTAATTTAAGGGTAACATAATTTAAGACAGAATATAATTATTGTATTGTAAACCCTGTGTGTAGCTCTGGGAAGTCGGGGGGAAGGGAGGGGGGTGGGGAAGGGTGGGGTTCGAGGGAGGTGGGGAGATATGTTGTAAAAATTTTAAAAATTTTCAATAAAAAAAAAAAAAAAAAAAAAACTCACTTAACAAATGTATCACTTAAGAACAGAAATTTTGGGCTCACTTGTGGTCGTAAGACTTGTGCCTGTATTTCCTGTTTTGTTTTTCAATACAGGATTGTAAAAAGGGGTGTTTTTTCCCCCCATTTTTCTTTTTTTCCTACTTAGGTATGGTTGCCCGGGCTGTTCTGGTCGACATGGAACCCAAAGTGATCAACCAGACTTTATCCTCCGCCTCAAGAACTGGGAACTGGAGATACGGCCCCCAGTCTGCCTTCTGTCAGAAACAAGGATCTGGAAACAATTGGGCAAATGGGTATGTGTGATTGCCCTCCAAATGAAGAACTCTTTTTATTTATTTCTCCAATGGGTTCTTCAAAGCACAGCGGCCGAAAGAAGCCTGCTGTTTTGCAACTAAGCAAAGATTAACTTTACAAGAGAATAAGAGAGTTGGAAGGGACCTTGGAGGTCTTCTAGTTTTGTCGGTTGGTGGACCGGAGGAAAAGGGAGGGGGAAGCATTTTACATGTGCGCATGGAGCAGCGAGCACGTGTAAGCCATAAACGGGGCGGGGCTAGCGCCCACGTGATACTAGCCCTGCCCTGTTCCTGCGGGGCACATCACCTTGTTTCTGCGTGGCACGGCGGTGGCTGTTTTTATGCCTTGCAGCGCAGTGGCGGTCCATTTTTGCGCCCTGCAGTGCGGCGGCATCCCATTTTCGCACCCTGATGCACCACGGTGGCGTCCTGTTTTGGTGCAGCAGTGTCCCATTTTCGCTCCCCTAGGCGCTGCGATGTCCTGTTTTTGCGCCCCGTGGTGTGGGGTCCTGTTTTTGCACCCCGCAACCACAGCACTGGCACAAGTGAGGGGTGTTCCGCACACGCACACTGGCCAGCCTGCCCAGTGGCCAGTGGGCCACGGCCCACAGGTTGGGGATCCATGTTCTATTCCAGGGGTAGGCAACCTTGGCTCTTTTATGACTTGTGGACTTCAACTCCCAGAATTCCTGAGCCAGCATTGCTCAGCATGGAAACCTCTCCCTTTCTCCTCAACATGGCCGGCTCAGGAATTCTGGGAGTTGAAGTCCACGAGTCATAAAAGAGCCCAGGTTGCCTACCCCTGGACTAGTCCAACCGTCTGCTCAGGCAGAAAACCCTGTACCACCCTATAAACATACAACGATGTTCACTTAAAGACCGTGGCATTAACTGCTGGAAAAAACCCTGTAAAATGGGGTCCAATTACATGGGTGCCTTGACTTACGACCATCACGACATACAGCAGAAATTCCAAGCTTCTTTATGATTGTGTATTGAAAGCTACCTGTAGCCACTCAGCCTGCCAGCTACGTTGCCTCAATGAATTCTGATTCTGCTTTTTTACAGCTTTTGAGGCCTCCCCGGATTTATGTATAGGTTGTCCTCAACAACCGTTTATTTAGTGACCGTTCAAAGTTACAGCAGCACTGAAAAAAAGCGACTTATGATCAGTTTTCACACTGACGACCTTTGCAGTATCCCCTTGGTCACGTGATCAAAATTCGGTTGCTTGGCAACTGGCTCATATTGAAGATGATTGAGTGTCCCGGGATCATGTGATCCCCTTTTGCCACCTTCTGACAAACAAAGTCAATAGGGGGAGCCAGATCCACTTAACAACCGTGTTATTCACTTAACCACTGCAGTGATTCACTTAGCAACTGTGGCAAGAAAGGTCGTAAAATGGGGCAAAACTCACTTAACAACTGTCTTGCTTAGCAACGGAAACGTTGGGCTCGATTGCGATTATAAATCGAGGAAGGATCTGTATTGTTAACTGGCCAAGTATCTCGGCTGGCTGTGTATATTTATTTTGGATATTTTTTTGCTTTTTATGGTTTAAAACGTTTTGATTGTTTTAAAATGTTAACAACCATTTCGATTAGCCGTGGAAATTTTGGGCTCGGTTGTGGACGTAAGTAGAGGACTCCCTGTAACCAGGCAGGTTTTTTTTTTTATAGAAGTTTTTTATTCATTTTTTCCATACATATAGTGGTAATTTTGCAACCAACGTGCTGTCTGAGTTTTCATGCTAATACGTATTTAATTCCTTATCCTTTCTTCTTTCCTCTAGCCCAGTGGTTCTCAACCTATGGGTCGCGACCCCATTTGGGGTCGATCGACCATTTCACGGGGGTCGCCAAGCAAGGCTGTCCACCATTTTTTTCCCCTTTTCCGGCAGGTGCCTTACCTCCCTTGGGCTGGGCCAGCTGGTGGTCGGTCTGCTCCATCTCTGCCGTTTGCCAGCTACGCCTCGGCCGGCGCAGGGGGCGGAACCACGCATGTGTGGCGCTCCCGGGCAGGGAAAGTCCTCGACTTACGACCGGTTGGGTAGTCCTCGACTTACGACCGGTTTAGTCCTCGACTTATGACCGGTTTAGTCCTCAACTTACGACCGGTTTAGTCCTCGACTTACGACCGGTTGGGGATCGCGGCATTAAAAAGGTTGAGAACCACTGCTCTAGCCAATGGTAAAATAAGTCCCAGGTTTGATAATAGTCCGTTTCTTCTTTTTCTTTCAGTCTCATAGTCAATCTGTCCATCTCTGTGCATTCTAGTATTTTTTTGAATTATTTCTTCCATCTGGTAGCATGCCTTCATTTTTTCCAGTGCTGCGCAAATATAATTCTTGCCGCTGTTTTGACATGCAAAGTCAAATATAAACTTTGTTTGTGAATCTTTTCTGGCATTATACCTAATAAAAAAAAGTTCAGGTTTAAAATCAACATGTTCTCCTAGCCAAGTATGTATCTGTTTCCAATAATTCTTTACTTTATCACGTCAGGCGGTTTGTTTCTAGCACAATGTAACCCATCCACGGGTTCTCCTTTTTTCCTTTCCCGAATTCTGCCCAGTTACCGCGTCCACGGCCCCAAACACGAAGAGGCGATCATGAACCTCATTCAGACGGAAGCAGAGAAGTGCGACCGGCTCGGAGGCTTCTTGATGATCATGAGCATGGCTGGTGGGACGGGGTCAGGCCTGGGGGCCTTTGTGACGGCAGCCCTACGAGAGGCTTATCCACACTCCTTCCTGCTCAACCATGTTATCTGGCCGTACGGAACCGGAGAGGTGAGTGTCCCAGATCTTGGCTGGAGGGTGCCCGATTTTCTTACTTAGGGGTGAAAAGAACTCTAAGGGCAGGAGGTGGTGCAGGGTGGGTGGCCCTGAAAAAAATTGTGAGTATGGAGGCTTCCCTGGGATTTGGGGGGGGGGAAGTAATGCATAACTCTGAGGTTCCCAGACCCCAGTTCATAGAATTAAACAATATTTTTTCCAGTCAACCTCCTAGTCCATGTAAACAATTTCACTTTGTTATGGGAACTGTCTGCTGCCTCTCCACACCTGCTGCAGTGTCCTTGGAAAGGTTTCAGGCTCTCGAGGTCTTCAACGGAATCGTAGAGGTTTCCCTTCTCCATCTAACCCATTCTAAAGCAACACCTCCCCCCCTTTACTCTAATAGCTGCCAAAGTTTCCTTCTTGACAATGGGGGAAGCCAGATTCGCTTCGCAACCCTGCGATTCACATAACAACTGCAGCAATTCAACGACTGTGAAAAACTGTCGTAAAATGAGGCACAACTCATTTCACAAATTCCTCGCTTCGTAGTGAAAATGTTGGGCTCAATTGCGGTCCTGAGTCAGGGACTCTGTGTATCTAAAGCCGCTCCTCTCTCTTCCTCTCTTCTCAAGGTGATTGTCCAAAATTACAACTCCGTCTTGACGCTCTCCCACTTATACCAATCTTCGGATGCTCTTCTGGTGCACGAGAACGACGCCGTCCATAAGATCTGCCTGCAGCTGATGAACATCAAGCAGATTTCTTTCCAGGATGTCAATCGAGTGATCGCACATCAGCTGGGTAGCGTCTTCCAGCCGGCCTACTCCTCTGAAGGGGCGGCTCACTACAGCAGGTCACCTCTAGGTATTTAGTTGCTCCTTCTGAAAACTGTCTAGCCCAGTGTTTCTCAAGCTTGGCGACTTGAAGAGGTATGGCTCAGCATGGAAACCTCTCCATTTCTCCTCAGCATGGCTGGCTGAGGAATTCTGGGACTTGAAGTCCACAAGTCATAAAGGGGCTATAGTTCCCCCATGCTGGCTGAGGAATTCTGGGAGTTGAAGTCCACAAGTCATGAAGGGGGTCATAGTTCTCCCATGCTAGCTGGGGAATTCTGGGAGTTGAAGTCCATACCTCTTCAAGTCAGAGTTGAGACTAACAGAGTAACAGAGTTGGAAGGGACCTTGGAGGTCTTCTAGTCCAACCCCCTGCCGAGGCAGGAAACACTATACCATTTCAGACAAATGGCTGTCCAGTCTCTTCTTAAAAACCCTCATTGATGGAGCATTCACAGCTTCTGGAGGCAGGTTGTTCCACTGGTTAATTGTTCTAACTGTCAGAAGGTCACAAAAGGTAATCACATGACTCCGGGACCCTTAAACTGTCATAAATACAGGTAGTCTTCAACATACGACCACAGTTGAGCCCAGAATTTCTGTTGCTAAGTGAAACATTTGTTAAGTGTGCTTTGCCCCATTTTACGATTTCCCTCAAAATCATCCTCTGATGCAGCGCAAAACCAAAATAAAGCAGAAAATAAAAATCAGCTTGTTCTGTCCTCCTCTTCTTAGTAAAAAGGTCCATACTAGTCTAGAGGTAGGCCTCAACTTACAACCATTTGTTTACTGACCGTTCAGAGGTACAACGGCATTCAAAAAAAAGTGTCTTACGACCGTTGTTCACACTTGTGACCGTTGCAGCATCCCTGGGGTCACAAAATGTGATCGTTTGGCAACGGACTCATATTTATGATAGTTGCGATGTCCTGGCTCAGTGACTTTTTTATATATATATAATATTTTATTAATTTTCCAATTTTACATGTGAATATTTAAAAAGCAACGTGGTGACTGGGGTTACAATAGTTCAATAACAAAATCTTAGTGCAAATCTCAGGTTACAACATCAAATATTTCTTCTCTTTTTTCCCTTAACATTTATTGTCTCATATTCAGGTTAATGCATTTCTAATTATATCAACTCAATAAGAACATCATTATTACATTTATCAATAAATTTTCAGCTTATACCTATCTTAATTACATTCACTCTTCATAAACAATCCATATCCTGTTATTGATTTTCACTCAATTGTTAATTTCTTATCAATATTCCCATTTAACCTTTAATATTTATAATTTTCAGACTTTGGGTAACCATACTTTCTCTTATCTCACTTCATAACAAACTATAATATCCAAAATACATATTTTATCTATTTGAATATAATCTTGTTCTATTTCCTAAGAGTTATCTATTTCCCATCATATTAAATCATCTACTTAATAACACAGTATCCCCTTTAATAAATCAAAACCATTATATATATTGCCTGGGTTAATCAGTAAATCAAACATATTCATAATGTTTAATTTTTTTCCCTTTTAAGTCTAATTTTTAAATATTAAACTGATAAAATCCTTATTTTCAACTGGTTTCCAAATATAATAATAATAATAATAATAATAATAATAATAATAATAATAATAATAATAATAATAATAATAATAATAATAATAATAATAATAATAATAATAATAATAATAAAGTTGGAAGGGACCTTGGAGGTCATCAAGTCCAACCCCCTGCTCAGGCAGGAAACCCTACACCATTTCGGACAAATGGCTGTCCAGTCTCTTCTTANACACTGCTATCATGTCCCCCCTCGTCCTTCTCTTCATTAAACTAGACATACCCAATTCCAGCAACCATTCCTTATATGTTTTAGCCTCCAGTCCCCTAATCATCTTTGTTGCTCTTCTCTGTACTCTTTCTAGAGTCTCAGCATCTTTTTTACATCGTGGTGACCAAAACTGGATGCAGTATTCCAAGTGTGGCCTTACCAAGGCATTGTAAAGTAGTATTAATACTTCACGTGAAATCTAATAGCCAAAATTCCCCTTATCTCAACATCTGCCTTTAACCCTCTAATTGGCAATATAAGATCCCCTCTAATGAGTCAAAATCCCAGTTTTTTCAACCTTATTCTAGCTTTCTTCCTTTGCCAACTAGGCTTCCATATCAGCGCCTTTAATGGCTCAGTGACTTTTGACTGTTTTCACACTGACGAATGTTTCAGCATTCCCCCGTGGTCACATGATCAAAATTCAGACGCTTGGCAATTTAACTCATATTTATGATGGCTGCAATGTCCCCGGGGCCACGTGATTTCCCCCTTTTGCGACCGTCTGACAAGCAAAGTCAGTGGGGGGGTTCACTTAACAACCTTGTTACTCATGTAACAACTGCAGAGATTCACTTAATAGTGGGGCAAAAAGGTGGTAAAATGGGGCAAAACTCACTTAAGATCTGTCTCGCATACCAGTGGAAATTTCGAGCTCGATTGTGGTTGTAAGTCGAGGACTGCCTGTATAATTTCTGTCAGAGCATGCAAAGTCTTATTGCATGAGATAACCCAGGAGTAAACACATTAAACAGAAGCTTGTATCAAATGGTGGTTTATCTTACACTATCTACAATAACATACACCAGGAACAAATATACATACACATGGTAATACAGCAGAATCCAACACACAACAGTTAAAGCAGGAAACGGAGGAGAGAGAGAGACTCCAGCAAAGCCCTCCCTTTTATACTCAGGCTCTTAAAGGGACACAGACCCTGCTGAGTCATTCCCATCATTGCATCATCTTACATTACTTTATATCACATCATTATGTAACATAAGCTTTTTAGCTGTTAAATTATTACCATGACAGTTTCCATTTAAGGCCCATCGGGGCGCAGTGTGTCATAAAATCAATGTGTAAATTCGTGCTGTTAACCTTCGTTTCCTTTTTTCCAGGGGACCTGATGGAAGCTTTAGTTCCCCATCCCGAGTTCAAGGTGCTAGGCCTCAGGAATATCCCTCAAATGTCGGAAAATTCCCTTGCTTACACTACCTTTGCTTGGCCTGGGCTCCTGAAACACCTCCGGCAGATGCTCATTGCAAACGCCAAAATGGAAGAAGGTGAATCCCAGCTGCATGTCTCCAGATGTGGAAGAGGCCATAACAAGTAGCCCTTGAGTGACTTAACTTGCTCTTCCTGCTCACCTTGCCTTCACAGGTATTGACTGGCAGGTGCGGCCTCCAACCAGCAGACTTCCTGCAGCTGAGAAGCCCTCGTTAAATCGGGCGGCTAATTTCAATACTTCGATTGCCAATTTGGTCACTCTGCGAGGCAAGGACGTACAGTGTGCAGACCTGGGTAAGGGCGTGGCATTGTGAGACGCAACGACAACAGGTGTTCGCTTTTCCTCTGTGGCTGCAACAAACCATTCCTCCTGGCTAACTTCTCCCCCTTGGCTCCTTTTCGAAATAATGGAGGAGTTGAATGGAGACAAAATTTTGTCAAGGACAAAAAATCCGTGACATTACAACCAGGGTTTTGATGGCTAAGCAAGGCATTTTTACTGAGTGAGTGGTGCCAATTTTACAACCTTTTTTTGCCCTAGTTCAGTGGTGGTGAATCTATGGCATGGGTGCCAGAGGCAGCACTCGGAGCCCTCTCTGTGGGCACACATGCCATTGCCTCAGCCTCGTCTCCCCCTGCGATCCCCTCCTCTCCAGCAGCCCCCCTGAAGGAGAGTCGCCCCCGAGGGTGGCCCACACGGAGCAGCGCAGCCAAGGACATGGCAGCCAGGCAATATAGACAAGACTCTGCTCTCACGCCCCATCGTGCACAGTTGATGCTGCAGGATGCGGGCAGAGGGTGTGGCCACCATAGCGCTGCTGGCTGCCTGGGCGATCTGCGGCGGGCCCTGGAAGCGGGGAGTGGTCCTGTGGGCAGGCAGGGCGGGGGATGGGGGGGCAGAGCGGGGGCGAGGCCAGTTTTTGGGCACTCGGTCTCTAAAAGGTTGGCCATCACTGCCCTAGTTGTTAAACATTGCAGTTGCTAAGTGAATCACATGGTCATTAAGCGAATCCAGCTTCCCCCCCCCCCCATTGCTTGTTGGAAGCAGGCTGGGAAAATCGCTAATGGCGATGCTGCAACTGTCGTAAATATAAGCTGGTTGCCAAGCGCCGAAATTTTGTTCGAGTGACCGTGGGGATGCTGCAGCGTCGTAAGTGTGAGGACTGGTTGCCGTTGTCAAGTTGTATTTATAACTGTTGGGGGTCATGCGATCATCCTTGTGACCTCAGCTGGCCTCTGACAAGGAAAGTCAACGGGAGAAGTCGAATTCTCTTAATGACCACGCAATTGACTTGAAAGCTGCAGTGATTCGCTTAACAACCACGACAAAAAGTTAGGTTGGCTCTGACTCACTTAACAGCCTCCTTGCTTAGCAACATAAATTCTGTTCCCATTGTGGTCATAAGTCGAGGATAACCTGAGCAGGTACTCCTTGCTTACCAACTGCCCTTTGTAGTGACTGTTCATATAATAAAATAATAATAATAGTAAAGTTGGAAAGGACCTTGGAGATCATCTAGTCCAACCCCCTGATCAGGCAGGTAACCCTATACCATTTTGGACAAATGGCTGTCCAGTTTCTTCTTAAAAACTTCCAGTGTTGGAGCATTCACCGCTTCTGGAGGCAGGTAGTTCCACTGGTTAATTGTTCTCATTGTCAGGAAGTTTCTCCTTAGTTCTAGGTTGCTTCTCTCCTTGCTTAGTTTCCCTCCATTGCTTCTTGTCCTGCCTTCAGGAGAAGAGCTTGACTCCCTCTTCTTCTTTGGGTCAGCCCCTGAGATATTGGAAGACTGCTATCATGTCCCCCCTCGTCCTTCTCTTCATTAAATTAGACATACCCAATTATGTTCAAAGTTATGACATTGCTAAAAAAAATAACCCTGGCACTTAACACTCACTGCACAGTCCTGCAGTCACGGGATTGTCAGTCTCACACACTAAACGACAGGTGCTCATACCCTAGTAAGACCACACCTGGAATACTGCAGCCCATTTTGGTCACCTTATCACAAAAAAGATGTTGAGAGTTTGGAAAAGATTCAGAGAAGAGCAACTAAGATGATTCAAGGCCTGGAGACTAAAACATACAAAGAACGGCTGCGGGACTTGGGTCTGGCCAGTCTAAAGAAAAGAAGAAACAGGGGAGACATGATAGCAGTATTCCAGTATTTGAGGGGCTGTCCCAAAGAAGAGGGGGTCATGTTATTCTCCAAAGCACCAGAGGGCAGGACAAGAAACAATGGTTGGGAACTGATCAAGGAGAGAAGCAACCTGGAATTAAGGAGAAACTTCCTGACAGTTAGAACAATTAATCAGTGGAACAACCTGCCACCAGAAATCGTGGGCGCCCCATCGCTGGAGGTCTTTAAGAAGAGGCTAGATAGTCATTTGTCTGAGACGGTATAGGTTCTCCTGCTTGAGCAGAGGGCTGGACTAGAAGACCTCCAAAGTCCCTTCCAGCTCTATTCTATTCTATTTCCTTTTGTGAGCAGCTGAGTTAATGCAGAAGGCAGAAACAAAATCTTAAGCTGCAGTTGTGTGTTTTTCCCCTCACTGACTGTGTTGCTTCGCTTAACGACTGCAGGGGAAATGCAGGTAGTGGTTGACTTACCACCACAACTGAGCCCAATATTTCTGTGGCTAAGTGAGGCGGTTGTTAAGTGATGTTTGCCCCATTTTACGACTTTTCTGGCCTCAATTGTTAAGTGAATCACTGCCATTGTTAGGTTAGTGACACGGTTGTTGGCTTCATACTTGACTTTGCTTGTCAGAAGGTCCCCAAAAGGGGAATCACACAACTCTGGGGACACTGCAACCGTCATAAATGTGAATCAGTTGCCAAGCCTCCGAATTTTGATCACGTGATCGTGGGGATGCTGCAACGGTCGTGAGTGTGAAAAACGATCCTAAGTCGCTTTTCTCAGTGCTGTTGTAACTTTGAACGAACACTAAATGAACTGTTGTAAATTGAGGATTACCTGTAAGGTCATAAGCTGAGTCGCCGTTGCATGTTTTTCTGCTTAGTTAGCAACCAAGTTGCTAGTCCCATTTGTGGTTGCTGAATGAGAATGAGCCTGTAATCCTCCGATCTAATGCGCCCCTTTCTTGTCTCTTACAGGGGGCTTCCAAGATCCAGCTTTGTACACTTCCTGGCTGAACCCTCCGGAGGCCTTGCGCATCTGGAGGACGCCCAGAGCTTTTAACAAGTATGAAAAATCAGCCTGTCTGGTCAGCAATAGCCAGTTTTTGCTCAATCCGCTCAACAGCCTAGTGGGAAAAGCCTGGAAAATGTTTGCTTCCAAGTAAGTTGAAAAGAATTAAATTCGTTTTTTTTTTAAAAATAATAATAATAATAATAATTTGGGCCGATATAATAATAATAATAATAATAATAATAATAATAATAATGATGATGATGATGATGATGATGATGGTGGTGGTGGTGGTGGTGGTGGTGGTGGTGGTGGTGGTGGTGGTGGTGATGATGGTGATGATGCCTGGAGACAGCAGAATAGACGAGAAAGAACTGGAGAAGATAACAAAATACAAAGACCTACAAACAGAAATAGAAAGACTGTGGCAAAGGCAAGCAAGGATAGTACCAATCGTAATAGGCGCCTTGGGTGCAATCCCAAAACAACTGGAGCACCACTTGGACACCATCATCGGCATTGACAAATTTGCCATTAGTCAATTGCAAAAGGCAGCCTTACTAGGAACTGCTTCCATCCTGCGATGAGATCTGTAATACCATCAAACATCCACATCTGCCTATCCCAGGTCCTTGGGAAGGACTCAATAGGTAGACAAAAATGCCAAATCCAGTCTGAACATTTGGCTGACTGTGCTTTGATCAGTAGTAGTAGTAGTAGTAGTAGTAGTAGTAGTAGTAGTAGTAGTAGTAGTAGTAGTAGTAGTAGTAGTAGTAGTAATAAAGTTGGAAGGGACCTTGGAGGTCATCGAGTCCAACCCCCTGCTCAGGCAGGAAACCCTATACCATTTCAGACAAATGGCTGTCTAGTCTCTTCTTAAAAACTTCCAGGGTTGGAGCATTCACCGCTTCTGGAGGCAGGTTGTTCCACTGGTTAATTGTTCTAACTGTCAGGAAGTTTCTCCTTAGTTCTAGGTTGCTTCTCTCCTTGCTTAGTTTCCATGTAGTTGTTTTGGTGGGAGTGGTGAGTGGGACCAGGGAAAGCACATGCTCTGAACATGGGAAGTATAAATTGCACTACAGGCAGCCGTCAACTTAACAACCATCCATTTAGTGATGGTTCAAAGTTACAACAGCACTGAAAACAGTGACTTATGACCATTTTTTCCTCTTCTGACCACTCTAGCATCCCCCGTGGTCATGTGATCAAAACTGGCAAAAATTGCTTGGCAACTGGAATGTACTTACAACAGTTGCTGCTCCCGGCCTCATGTGATTGCCAGGCTCAATTATGATTGTAAGGAGGACTACTGGTAATTGCAAGCCTGGTTGTTCCACTGATTAATTTTCTGAGACGGTATAGGTTCTCATGCTTGAGCAGGGGGCTGGACTAGATGACCTCCAAGGTCCCTACCAACTCTCTTATTCTGTCACTATTCTGTCTCTATTCTATTTTCTAGTCTATTTTCTAGTCTATTTTCTATTCTATTCGTTTACGCGTGTTTCAATCTGTAACATTAATCCAAGCCAACATTGTATTCTGCCCACAATTAATTGGCGTCCCATTACTCTCCCTCCAAGGAGCCATGGATAATTTGATCCGGGCCGGACTCTCTTGCTCACCAAAGCCTCTTGTTCCTTCCACGCAGGGCTTACATCCACCAGTATTCAAAATTTGGAATTGAAGAAGAAGATTTTCTGGGCTGTTTCACCACCTTGGAACAAGTGATTGCCAGCTACAGCAACCTCTGATCCCCCAAAGCCCGTACGTTCTCCGTGCCTTTTCCAAGAGGATCAAAACCGCGATTGAGGATGGGCTACCGGGCACCCATCCCAACGGAAGCACATGGATTCTGTAGTGCCTTGCCAGTGCCAGAACTTCCATACCCACGGAGGCACTTCCTAGGAGGTGCACATTTTCGATGGAGGAAGTACGTTCAATGACAAATATTTCTTTTCTTTTTTTTTTTTTAAATTTTAAAACTTTTTATTTATAAAACAATTAAAAAAAACAAACAAACATTGGATTTGACGTGACATTCCAGTATATACATTCTTATCAGATTGTATCATATTTAACAATCAATTCATTATCTCTACATATACATTAAATTTTATATACATTATCTATTCTAAAGTGACATACATTTCTATCTTATCATTCGTCTTTAATCCCAGCCGTCCTTTTCAAATTCCTCCAGCGGTAAAATTTATCCCAGGTTTCAAAAAAAAATTGATCCACATTTATCTTTTAATATCATTGTGAGCCTGTCCATTTCTGCACATGCTAAAATTTTATGTATTAACTCTTCCTCTGTGGGAATTTCCTTACTCTTCCATTTTTGCGCAAAGGCAAGCCTGGCTGCTGTCAAGATATGTAGCAACAGGTAGATTGTTCCCTTATCATATTTTTCTGTAATGACAAATATTTCAAAGGGGATCTGGGGTTCAGCTTTGAATCACATCAGGCACCCTCGATGATTGAAGCGGGCTCTTTTCATTCACCAGCCTATATATTTTCTACATTCCTGCTTTTGTATGTATTGTACTGAATATAGTCATTAATTTATGACATCTTCCTGGGTGAATACTCAGGTTTTTTTTTCTACAGCAACAATATGGGGCACAGGAAGTCCTTGACTTACAACCATTCACTTAGTGACTGTTTGAAGGTATGGTACTGGAAAAAGTAACTTATATATCGCACTTGGCAACCGGCCTGCGTTTGGCAACCCAACAGTGTCAGTCGACCAAGTCTTAGTGCGTTGTTTCTGCACAATAAACCAAAAAACTCTGAAGCTATCTAATAGCACTTTTTCAGAGTTACACATTTTATTTTATTAAAAGACATAAAGCTTTGTGAACTACAACTCATTCATTTTTGGCTGCTCCATAACTAGCACAGCTCCCCTACGATATAGCATGCTGGGTGGGGAATTCTGGGAGGTGAATTTCCACACACCTTAAAAGTCACCAAAGTTGAAAAACATGAGTACAGGCCACAACTGAGCCCCAGATTTATGTTGCCAAGTGAGAAATTGGTTGAGTTTTGCCCCTATTTTATGACTTTTCTTGCCACATTTGTTAAGCGAATCACTACAGTTGTTAAGTTAGTAACACGGTTGTTGAGTGAATCTGGCTTCCCCCTGTTGACTTGGCTTGTCAGAAGGTCGCAAAAGGGGATCACGTGACCCCCGGGGACACCGCGACCGTCACAAATATGAGGCCGTTGCCAAGCGTCTGACTTTTGATCCCGTGACCCTGGGGATAACTGCAAAGGTCGTAAGTGTGAAAAACGGTCCTAAGTCACTTTTTTCAGTGCCGTTGTAACTTCAGACAGTCCCTAAGTGAACTGTTGTAAGTCGAGGACTACCTGTATTTACTCAATTTTTGTGACATGTTACTGTCATATAAGCTATTTAGTCATCACAATGTAAAAAAAGATGTTGAGACTCTAGAAAGAGTGCAGAGAAGAGCAACAAAGATGATTAGGGGATTGGAGGCTAAAACATATGAGGAACGGTTGCTGGAATGGGTATGTCTAGTCTAAGAAAGAGAAGGACGAGGGGGGACATGATAGCAGTCTTCCAATATCTCAGGGGCTGCCCCAAAGAAGAGGGAGTCAAGCTATTCTCCAAACCACCTGAAGGCCGGACAAAAAGCAACGGATGGAAACTAATCAAGGAGAGAAGCAACGTAGAACTAAGGAGAAACTTCCTGACAGTTAGAACAATTAATCAGTGGAACTGCTTGCCTCCAGAAGTGGTGAATGCACCAACACTGGAAGTTTTTAAGAAGAGATTGGACAGCCATTTGTCCAAAATGGTATAGGGTTTCCTGCCTGAGCAGGGGGTTGGACTAGATGACCTCGAAGGTCCCTTCCAACTTTATTATTATTATTATTAATAATAATAATAATAATAATAATAATCCCAAACCCCACACAATTTGATTTAACCCATTTTATTTGACTTTCTTCTGTCCTGTATACAGACGGGACACAAGATGGCGCCCGTATCCCACTTGTTGGGGAGCAAGTGGGTTTTACGTGGATCCACTTCCAGCAGCAATAAACGGCTTCTGCAATTGACTGAAAGGCACATGAAAGGCACGTGAGATCTGGACCATTGCTTATTTAACCTTGTATGGCACAGATTTCCCAGTCAGGTGCCCTAAATTGGAGACAATCACCCAGGATTCACAGTCCACTGGGAAAGCACCACGTCAACAAAAGACCAATATAAACCACATCCTAATAATAATAATAGTAGTAGTAGTAGTAATAATAATAATAATAAAGGTGGAAGGGACCTTGGAGGTCATCTAGTCCAACCCCCTGCCCAGGCAGGAAACCCTATACCATTTCAGACAAATGGCTGTCCAGTCTCTTCTTAAAAACTTCCAGTGTTGGAGCATTCACAGCTTCTGGAGGCAGGTTGTTCCAGTGTTGGAGCATTCACAGGTTGTTCCACTGGTTAATTGTTCTAACTGTCAGGAAGTTTCTCCTTAGTTCTAGGTTGCTTCTCTCCTTGATGAGTTTCCATCCGTTGCTTCTTGTCCTGCCTTCAGGCGCTTTGGAGAATAGCTTGACTCCCTCTTCTTTGGGGCAGCCCCTGAGATATTGGAACACGGCTATGACCAGTTTTCACACGTCTGTTGCAGCATCCCCAGGGTCACATGATCAAAATTTGGATGCTTGGCAACTGGTTCATATTTATGACGGTCACAATGTCCCGGGGTCCTGTGATCCACCTGTTGTGACTTTCTGACAAGCAAAGTCAATGGGGTAAGCCAGATTCACTTAATAATCATGTTACTAACTTGTGGTGGCGGTGCAGTGGTTAGAACGGAATATTGCAAGCAAACTCTGCCCACTGCCAGGAGTTCGATCCTGGCTCAAAGTCAACTTAGCCTTCCGTCCTTCCGAGGTTGGTAAAATGAGGACCCAGATTGTTGGGGGGGGCATATGCTGACTCTGTAAACCACTTAGAGGGCTGTAAAACACTGTGAAGCGGTATATAAGTCTAAGTGCTACTGCTATTACTATTGCAGGCAGACTCTGCCCACTGTCAGGAGTTCGATTTTCACCGGCTCATGGTCGACTCAGCCTTCCGTCCTTCCGAGGTCGGTAAAATGAGGGCCCATTTGTTGGTGGGCAAATATGCTGACTCTGTTAGCCACTTAAAGAGGGCTGTAAAAGCACCGTGAAGCGGTATACAAGTCTAAGTGCTATTGCTATTCGCTGCAGTGATTCACTTAACAACTGTGGCAAGAAAGGTCGTAAACTGGAGCCTGTCCTGCTTAGCAAAGGAAAAGTCGGGCTCAATTGTGGTCGTAAGTTGAGAACCGCCTGTAAAATGCGGTGGGGAGGGATCGGCTGGCCTACTCTTTTGTTCCAACCCGGAGCAGATATTGCAACAGCAAACCTGCACCTGGTAGTAGCTGTTGACTCTACTGGTAAGAAAAGAAAGGGAGAGAGGAGAGAACCTGTATTTCTGCTGAGTCACAATTCTCGGTGACGAACTTATTTTGCTGCAGTTCGGAGATTGACGTCTGTCGGAAATGCAGCCAGGCCCGTTTTGAAACCTCAAGGCGTGAAGAAGGTAGCGCATGAATGGGTGCATGAAAAAAAAAATCACTTTAAAGAGAAAAAAAAAAAACCTAAAGGGCCATACTGGACAGGTCAATTTCATGTCCACGTTTCTTTGTTTTAGATAGCCAACTTTTCCTGCAAAACCTGGCAGACGTAGGGAGCAGATTTTGTTCTCCTGCACCAAAAGAGCGGGAAAACATTTTGTGTAGATTTCCCCCCAGGAAAAGATAGGATGGAAGGGACCTGGCTAGGGAGAAATACCTGTGAATTGTCTTTGTAAATTACAAGTTAATTACAAAAAAAAAAAATAGAAAAAGGATGTTGAGACTTAGAGTGAAGAGGAGAGTCAGAAAGATGATTAGGGGACTGGAGGATAAAACATACGATGAATGGTTGTGGGAACTGGGAATGTCTAGTGCAGGGGTAGGCAACCTTGGCTCTTTTATGACTTGTGGACTTCAACTCCCAGAATTCCTGAGCCAGCATGGCTCAGCATGGAAACTCCCTTTCCCCTCAGCATGGCTGGCTCAGGAATTCTGGGAGTTGAAGTCCATGAGCCAAGGTTGCCTACCCCTGGTCTAGTGTAATGAAGAGAGGGACTAGACATAGCTTCCAGTACTTGAGGGGTTATCACAGAGAAGAGGCAGTCAAGCTATTCTCCAAAGCACCTAACCAAAGAGAGAAGCAACCTAGAACTAAGGAGAAACTTCCTGACAGTTAGAACAATTAACCAGTGGAACAACCTGCCTCCAGAAGCGGTGAATGCTCCAACACTGGAAGTCTTTAAGAAGAGACTGGACAGCCATTTGTCCGAAATGGTATAGGGTTTCCTGCCTGAGCAGGGGGTTGGACTAGAAGACCTCCAAGATCCCTTTCAAGTCTGTTGTTCTGTTCTGTTATTCAAGAGAGTCTCTTGGCCAAGAAT